GGATGAGGTGCTGCGGGCTGGCCTCTGCTGGAGCATGGTGTGAAAGAAAGAGCCTTTATACCTTGTTTCCTCCTGGCAGGGTGATAAATGCGGGGAAGAGCCAGCACAACGAGGACCAGGCGTGCTGCGAGGTGGTGTTTGTGGAGAGGAGGACCAGCCCAAGGGGCCGGTTGCCATCCAGGGAAGGCGGCGGGGAGCTGGATGGGGTGAGAGCCAGGGTGGCGTGCGCAGGCAGGGACATGACAGGGAGGATGCCCGTGGCAGGACACGAGATGGGGCACGTGACGATGTGTGCGCGCCACCGCCTCCCCAGGGATTCCCTTGGGTCCCAGACCGGCTGCCCCTGCTCCCTGCCAGCTCCTGCCATCGTCCTCACTGGCCTGTGCTGGGGCTGGCTGGCCTGGGGAGGCAGCTGACCCGTGTGCCGCAGTGGGCTGCGGAGGTGGCTGCCATGCTGACCCTGTCGTGCCTCCCCTTTGGAGGAGCCAGCTGCTGGAGACGCACTGCTGGCAGCATGAGGTGTCTGACACAGGGCTGGGCTTGAGCCAGGGACTGGCCATGTCCAGACACCCTTGATCAGCTGCCCACATCACTCCTGCCTGTGCTGGGCTGGGACCTGTGAGCTGGAGGCAAAGCCCCATGTCACTGTCCTCAGCTGGTGACCCCAGCTGCTCTGAATTCCCCGTCCCATCTGCTTCCTCACAGGCTTGCTAAACCTTCCTGTCTCTCCCCACAGGGCAGGAAGGGTTTTTATTTCCACTACTGGGCCTTGTTTGATGGCCATGCGGGCAGCGGTGCTGCTGTCATGGCATCCAAGAGGCTCCACCTGCACATCTGCGAGCAGCTCCGGGACCTTGTGGACATCCTGCAGGACCCCTCTCCGCCTCCCATCTGCCTCCTGCACGACGCAAGGGCCAGCCCTGTGGAGCTGAGCCGGATGCCCCTCGCAGAGGACAATGGGGAGGTCCCCAACGATGCTGTGCCGCGGTTTCACCTGGAGAAAGCGGTCTCTCATGAGAGCCTGGTGATTGGCGCCATCGAGAATGCCTTTAAGCACATGGTGAGCGAGCCCCCACCTGCGGGAATGCCCAGGTATGCCCTGGGAGCACCTCTTTGCTGTCTGTGTCAGCATTGGCTTGTCCCCTCTGGCAAAAGGCAGCTCTGCAGCAAGGAGGGGGCTGCAGTGAGGGCTCCTAGCAGGACGGTCTCGGAGAGGGCATTGCGATGGTCTCCCATATTTGGGGGTTCAGGACACAGTGGCTTTGGGCTCTGGACCTGTGCAGGTGCAGAGGGCTTCATTGCACTTCATTCCAGCAGTCCCAACTGCTCCCCTCCTGTCTTGCTCTTTCCTGCCCTCTCCACTGCCCCGGTGAAGCCATGTCCCTGACTGCCCCGCAGGACCCTAGCCCTGAAGCCATCCCTGGGCTGCGTGGGGAAAGGTGCCTGGGCCCCGGCTGGCCGCCGCTCCCCACCTGGAGCAGGGTCTCAGCTTGACCAGCAGCCGAGGTGCTGCCAGAGCAGCCGGGTGCTATTTTGGGCTGCCTGTAGCTTTTCTTGCTTACATGGGGCTGCCTGCCTGCCCTGCTTGGAGCCACTCGCTGTCTCCCCAGGACGACCAGATTGAGCGGGAGCGAGCATCCCAGCGCCTGTCCGGGGGCTGCTGTGCCCTGGCTGCCGTCTACCTCATGGGCAAGTTCTACGTGGCCAATGCTGGCGACAGCAGGTATGGCCCTGCTGGGCAGCCCCCGCCTTTCGCCTGGTAATTGGGGAGCACCCTGGTAGAGCAGGGCAGTGCTGGAGGCATGGCTGATGAGGAGCACCCAGCTCCATCCCTGAAGCTGGGCTGTCTTGAAGAGGGCAGAGGCAGTAGGACCAGGCAGAGCCACCCCCTGCCTGCGTGCACACCCTGGGGACAGCATAGCCTGCTGTGATCTCCATGTTCCCTGGTTGCACAGAGGGGGCTGCAGAATCACCTCCCAAAATCTGGGACCTGCTCCCTTCCTTCCTGGCAGCATCCTGTCTGCTTCCCAGATGGCTCTGGATCACACCCTGGCCCCTGCTGCCAGTGCTGGCCTGGGCTGCGAGTTGGGGAATGAAAATTGCCCTCAGCAAAGCTTTCAGAAATGTGCAAGAAGTCATTTTAGGGCACCCTTCATACCAGTGAACTTTTTCAGGAGAAGGACACACAAATCTATGTGCAGACAGGTCCCCTGGGAGCTTGGAGCCCAAGGATTTTGACTGATACATGCATTTCCTTGGGTGCGTTACTGTAATTGCACCTGGGTGTGTTCATACCCCCCAAGCAATGGCAGGAAGGCAAGTCCACCTTATGCTGAGGGTGAAGCTGGTTTGAATTGCCCTTTATTTACTGCAGGGTTAGCTTGTCCTCAGCAGTGTCAGGCCAGCAAATACAGGCTCTGGTAAATTGTCTGAGGCTGGAGGACATCATTCCAGCTCTGGGACAGAGGAGGAGGAGATTCTTTGTGCCTCCGCTTTTGGGTGCGGGGCCCCTCTGTGGCAGCAGTGGCCAGGTGCCGGACATGCGGGACGACAGCATGCGCAGGGTCCCGAGGCTGTAAACATGCCTGTGGGTGAGGGTCTGTGTTCCTCCTCAGGCTGCCAGATCTGGGCTCAGCCAGGCCCTGCATCCCTGGAGGAGACCCACAGCCCTAGGCAGGACAGCAGGTGGGACAGCTGGACCACCAGTGTTGGAGATCCTCAATCCCCCCGTGACATCCAGAAACATCTCATAATCAGACTTTTATTTTTTTTAACACATCAAACAATCAGACCGGCCCCAGCAGTGAGCCGCAGTGCTGGTGTGGGCCGGGCAGTTGCACCCGTGTCCTGCTGCTGGCGGTTTCTGCCTGTCCTGTGTGTGGCTCCCCTCTAAAGGAGGGTTCGCCACCTTTGTGCTGCTCCTTTTCTAACCATATCCTATCCTTTGGTTTGCTCTGCTTCATTCCCCTCTGCCCCATGCTTCTCTTCCATTTTCTCTTCCTCCCTGCCCCTATCCTGTGCAGGAGGGAGGCATGCCCTGCCCACCCAGGGGCTGTGGGGCTAGGGGCGGTTAGCTGCAGCAGAGCCAGCAAGCAGCCCCCCAGCTCGGGGCTGGGAAGAGGGCAGGCAGCGGAGGGGAAGGGGTTGCGCTGCCTGGGCAGCCATGTAGGGACCTGAGAGCCAGTCTTAGCTCCCCCACCATGTCTCCTCTCCTCCTCTCTACTCTCTATCTTTCAAGTTTCATTCCTGCCCCTATCCTGTGCAGGAGGGAGGCATGCCCTGCCCACCCAGGGGCTGTGGGGCTAGGGGCGGTTAGCTGCAGCAGAGCCAGCAAGCAGCCCCCCAGCTCGGGGCTGGGAAGAGGGCAGGCAGCGGAGGGGAAGGGGTTGCGCTGCCTGGGCAGCCATGTAGGGAATCGGCCCCTGAGAGCCAGGCTTAGCTCCCCCACCATGTCTCCTCTCCTCCTCTCTAATCTCATCCTTCCATGTTTCATTGCAGGGCCATTATCATCCGTAACGGGGAAATCATTCCAATGTCCAGGGAGTTTACTCCAGAGACAGAGAGGCAGAGGCTGCAGTTTTTAGTAAGAAAGACCTTTCTTCTAACCTCATTCCTGCTGAACCACCTCCCAGCCCCTTCCCAGCCCGCCAGGCTGCCTTCTTGGTGGGGTCCCAGGGGACAAGGGCAGCCTCACAGCTGGGACCTGCTGATGGCACTTGTCCAACCCAGCCAGCTCACTGGGTTGGAGAGAGGCGCTGGGATGCAGGGAGCTGCCCTGGCTCACTGGCGTGGGGGCATCTGGTGGCTGGTGGAGCCCTGGTGTGCTGCGGGGTCAGTGTGAGGGGCTGTGCCTGCAAGCCTGGCCTGGCCAGGACCTGGGGTGGGCACCCGCCTGCCGCTGCTGCGGGAGCGCTGGGCTGGCTTGCGCAGTGACCGGGAGGAGCACAGCTCTGCTCCCTCCACCCGTCGTGCTCCCTTGCACGGTCGAAGGAGCCGCAGCGCTGACGCCGAGTCCTAGTTTCTTCCCTGGCTGCTCCCTGGGGAAGCAGGGAGCTGACATGTGCCAGCGGGTTTCTATCTTTCTTCCTGAAAGCTCCCTGTCCTGCCTGGCCTGGACAAACCCCCCTGTGCCACACAGGGAGACTTTTTAAGGTTATAAAGACCTCTCTGACGGCAGCACAGAGGAGGAGGTGTTTGTGTTGGAGGAGGTCTTGCTGGATGTGATTTCCTGGCTTGCAACGTACTTGGAAAAACACTGAGGCATTTTTTTTCTCGAATCTATTTTTGAATGACCAAGAGGAGGAAGCTGCTGTGAGCGGGATCCTCTCCAGCTGGCTGTGATGGGCAGGGCACAGGCAGGAGGCCAGGCGCACGCTTTCTCAGCTGCACAGTGCCCAGGCCATGGTAAGGGCTCCCCCCACCCGGAGTGGGACGGGGCTCTCCATGCCTCGGCACCGAACCCTCCCGTGTTCCCAAGGACTCTCCTTTCTTTCAGCTCTTTATTCCTCCATCTGCATTTTCCAACACTGTCCCTATTCCTGGTCCCCTGCACGCTGTGCTCCAGGAGGCCCTGGAGCTGCTGTCCTGCCCCGGGAAGGGGCTCTGTGCTGCTTCTCGTCCCTTGTTACAGCTGCAGCTGGGACATGGTTTCTGAAAAGACCCATCAGCTCTTTTCCTCGGGCAAGTGCTGTGCCCTGTGCTGAGCCTGGGGTCCCGGGAGGTTTGCAGCTCTGACTCCTCCTGGGCAAATTCCAGCTTCTCCTGGAACTTGCTGGGTTTTGATCACTTTTGGAGATCCTTATTTCCCAAAACTCTCCATGCAAAAGCTTCTCCTTCTTGCTGGGTGTTGGCATGGCTGTCCTCAGCTCTTGTCTCCCCTCTGGGGGTAGCACAGACGGGTGGTTTGAAGCTGCTTTGCCACCACCTGTTCGAGTTGCAGCAGAGGCAAATTCCAGCTTTTCCTGGAACTTGCTGGGTTTTGATCGCTTTTGGAGATCCTTATTTCCCAAAACTCTCCATGCAAAAGCTTCTCCTTCTTGCTGGGTGTTGGCATGGCTGTCCTCAGCTCTTGTCTCCCCTCTGGGGGTAGCACAGACGGGTGGTTTGAAGCTGCTTTGCCACCACCTGTTCGAGTTGCAGCAGAACAGCTGATGTTATCCCCACCATGAAACACCGCAGCCAAGGTCCCGGCAGGCTGGTGGGTCCCGTGCCGCAGTGGCGGTGCCTGGTGAGGTGCTGCAGGTGGTGCTGGCCGGCAGGGCAGGCGATGCTGTGTGGATTCTGCTCTCCCGGCCCTGTGGCTGAGCCACTGCTTTGTCCCGCAGGCGTTCCTAAGGCCCGAGCTGCTGGGGAAGGAGTTCACACACCTCGAGTTCCCCCGCAGGATCCAGCCCAAGGAGCTGGGGAAGAAGATGCTGTACAGAGACCAAAACATGAATGGCTGGTAACCCTCCAACCCATGGGAGGCTCCGTGCTGAGGGGCGGCGCTGGGGTCCTGCTGCACGTGGCCGCCTGGCTGCAGCATCCCTTCCCGTGGGGCAGGGGCTGTGGCACGCTGGGTACCCAGGTCTTGAAGGGGCCTCATGCTGGGGGATGCTGTGTCCCGAGCGGGCAGGGGAGGTGCTGGAAGCCTTCACCTGCTGACACGTTGTCTCTGGCTTATTTTAACTAGGGCTTACAAAAAGATAGAAGAGGATGACCTGAAGTTTCCACTCATCTACGGGGAAGGCAAAAAGGTGAAGTGCTGTGGCAGGAGCTGTGTGGGGGTCACTTCCCACCTGCCCTCACTGAATCAGGGGTTTCCAGCCCATTTTTGCTAGTGCTGTTGCTGCTCCAATGCCACCAATTCTCATCTGGGAATGGAGGTGGAGATGTAGCTTAAAGTGGGTGGATGGATGGAGCTTAAAGTTTTCTTTTGGTTTTATCGTTCCCCAGGCTCGGGTGATGGCCACAATTGGGGTCACGCGGGGCCTGGGAGACCACGACCTCAAGGTGTTCAGCTCCAACATCCACATCAAGCCTTTCCTGTCCTGCTTCCCAGAGGTGAGCCTGGCTGCCGGCCACTCTGCGCCCAGGGGTTCCTGCGATGGCCAGAGACGGTTGGGGTGATCAGATCCCTGGTGCACCCAGCGCAGCGGCTCAGGGCAGTGCCAGTGCTCGTCTGGGCTCTCCAGGAGCCTCCTCTGCCTCTCTGCCCCTCACCCTTGCGTCTTGCCCCGTTGCTTGCCAGGTCAGGGTTTACGACCTCACGCAGTACGAGCACTGCCCCGATGATGTTCTGGTCTTGGGCACCGACGGGCTCTGGGATGTCACCAATGACAAGGAGGTGGCCAGTGTGGTGATGGAGGTGCTGACAAGCTACGAGCCCAACGACCCGTGCAGGTGAGCTGAGAGTGGGCAGGGGGATGAGCATGTCCTGGAGCAGCGTTGTGGCCACACGTCCCTCTGGCCTCGGAGCTGGTGCCATTGCTCCACAGCGTGCAGTGCTCTCCTGGATGTGCGTATCTGAGCTCAGATCTCTACTCTCTAAGGGACCCTCACCTGCACCTCTAGCTCCTCCAGCTTCTTCCTTGCCAGGGACTGCAGCATGCTGCATCAGGGAGTCTGCGGGGTCTGGGGTTGCTGCTGAGCTGCTGTGCTCTGCTCTCAGGTACACCATGGTGGCCCAGGAGCTGGTGGTGCGGTCCAGGGGGGTGCTGAAGGAGCAGGGCTGGCGGCTGGCCAACGACAAGCTGGGCTCTGGTGATGACATCTCTGTCTTCGTGATCCCTTTGGGCGGCCCGGGCAACTATACATGATGCCCAACGACCCCAAGGCAGAGGGGCTCGCCTTGCCTGGATGGAGATGGGACATCGGTGCTGCCTTGGGGCCACCTCTCCCCCAAGCACTTGTTTCCTGAGCCGACCACAAGAAGAGTAAGAAAACCTGGAGCCTCTGTCTGTGCCCCGGCCCAGAGCATCCCCCTCCACCTGCTGCATCCCAGCCCTGGGCGGAGATGGAAGGGCCTTGGACAGAGAGCAGGGACTGGGGTTGAGGGATGTTTTTTGTGCTGCCACTTTCTTGGTTGCTGTGAAAAGCCTAAATCCTCCCTGGCTTCTTGGTGCATCCTTTGCACCTCGCCCTGGGCTTTGGTGTGCTGGTTTCCAGCAGTGTGCAATGGCCGTCAGGCTGGTGGGGCACTCGTACCTGGAGAAGCGTGTGCTTGCTGCTGCAATCATCTCCTCTCCCCTGCCCTGTGACACTTGCACCAGTGACACTGAAGCTGCTGTTGGGCCTGGGTGCTGGGGCCAGGATGGGCTGTGGCCTGGGGTGAAGCCCTGCTGGCAGCCAGGCAACGCTCAGCCCGGCAGAAGTCTGGTGGTGGGTGGCGTGGTGGTGGGCGAACCCCATGACTGACATCCCAGCTTTGTGCTTGCCCTCTCCGGCCCCTCACACCTTCCTCCCAGCCATGTACCTTGTCTTAGTCTCCGGTTTGGGAGGATGGGGCAGTGCTCAGTCACTGTGGCGCACTGTGAGAGCCCCTGGGAAGGAATGAGCTATCGCACTTGCACTGGCTGTGCCATGGGTTCTGCCTGCACCCGTCTCCGTACATTGGATCACTGCTGTGTTTCTGAAGCCAATTATTTATTAACTGGGGAGCTGAGCTGGAAAATGTCTAAATCCTTTCTTGTTGTGTGGAGTCGGTATGAATATGTGTCTATATTTTTGAGCGGTTCTAAGTTGGCCACTGCTGAGCAGCGGTTGCACACAGAGCAGCCCTATTCAGCCAAGCTTAACAGCTTAAACGTGCTGCGTGGATCTGCTTAGCTGAGGGCTGGAAACTCACAATAAAAGCAGCTTGGTTGTGACTGGGGGTGGGGAGACAACTCCTTCCTTTTTCTTAATAACCTCAAAGCTGGTGCTGAGCAGAGCTGTAGCAGCAGTTGATCTGTGCATAGTATCTTATTTTGCATCACACATACCTCTGACTGGGAGGATGCATTTCCTGGACCTCTCTAGAGCATTGCATCCTCCCAAAACGTGAGGGATGATCCCATCCTGGCAGTGCGGTGATGGGGAGAGCTGGGCCATGGTCCCTTGTTTTGGGAAGGCTCTGTGGCACCAGTAGTTTGTGTCCTGCTGTCGCTGGGTGCAGCCAGCTCTTGTCAAGTGTCACCTCTGGTGAATGTTGTTTGTCTCTTGTAATCAGCGAGATGTAAATAAACTGGGTGCACTTAATGGGAAGTGAAAGTTATCCAGCGAGATTTTAACCTATTGACATCTCCTGTGCTGAAGGGAGCAGGGAGTGATACTGGGGCTAGGAGCCTGTCCTTGCGTGACACTGTGTGTTTAAATAAAGGTTTTGCCACTTGCAATCCCACTTCAAAGTCTTTCTTGCAGAGCTCCTGCAAAGACGACTTACCTAAAAGCCAATTAGCTCTGATTAATTTATGTAGGCAGGCTTGGTAGCAAATAGGCCCAGACAGAGCCATGTGAGCTGCTGTCCCTCTGCCCTTGGCGCTGGCCAGACCCTGTGGAGCATCCCTCCCGCACCCAGGGTGAGTGGGAACTGCTGCCGTGCTGCCGGTCTCTGCGCGGTGCTGCCTGGCAGCTGCTGGCTGGGTTTACACGGGGCTGGCATAGGGACACAGCAGTGCAGGGGCATGGCTCTCTGGGGTGGGTGATGGCCAGCTGGGCAGGGAAAGAGCTGCAGGGTGGCCAAAACAGGACCTGGCTGGTGAGCGCTGCATTAGGCTTGGATGAGGACTGAAAACCAGCAGGCGCCAGCCTGGCCCCCCCCCGCTGCTCCCCGCTGCAGGCAGCGCCTGGACACAGACAGGGAGCAGAGGGGAGGAAAGGCCAATAGTTTCCCTGCTCATGGGGTTGGGTCCCTCCTTCAGGGAGTGGGGTGGGCTGTGGATGGAGGCACATTTCTGCAGGCTGCAGCTCCCAGGGACGTGGCTGTGCTGGAAAGGCAGGACCCCTCTCTGGGAGCTCAGGCATCCCAGCAGCGGCTACCTCCTGCCTCTAGGGTGGCCTGCCCGCTGGCAGCGTCCCTGCTGTCACCCCTGACTGCCACTGTTACCCCTGGTGCTCCTGATGCTCACACATGTTTTCCCCACACCCCTGGCTACCCCCACACTTGTTTGCACAGCCCTGTTCTCCTGGCATGGTGTTCTTCATGACAGTGGTTGAGAACTGGCCCTGCTTTTCCAGGTCACTGCCTGGGAGCTGCTGGATAAGGCAAGGAGGCAGGGGCTGCATTTAAAACTTCCTCTGTGGTTCCCCTTTTTACTAAGGAAACATTTCCTTTGGAACCAGCTCCTGGCCTGGGGCTTGATAAATTAAGAAAAATTGTCTCCGAGCCCTTAAAATAGCAGCAGTTTATGAGCCTGGGTCTGGGCCAGGACCCTGGGGCTGCCTTTCCCTGGCGGAGCAGCAGGGACTCAGCCCTGCAGCTGGGGCATCACGGGGAGGAGCAGCCCAGTCCTCCCTTGCTGACAGCCCGCTGTGGGCGAGGAGAACCAGAGCCGCTGCCTGCAGCACTGGGGTTGTCTCAGCGTGGGGCCTGATGCACCACGGCCCCCTTCTGCCAGTGCCCCTGTGGAGGGGACTCGAGGTCCTGGGGACAGGGCATGTCCCTCACAACCCCGCTGTGTCTGTTACGGTGGGAAACGGGGCCTTCCCCAAGGAGCGAGCAGCTGACTGGGCAGCACATGAGGGATGCAGGAGGGGTGCGGTGGGGTTTGGCTGCTGGCCCCCGCTGCCTCCGCTAGGATCTGCCTTCCTTGGCAGAGCTTGTCTCTCGCTAGCAGTGGCTCTTGGCACTGCCATAAATAATGCTCATGGGGGGAAAGGCGTCTCCTTGAGAGGTGCTCCAATGGTGGAGCATTCCTGGTTAGGGGGCAAAGCACGGGGTGGTCTTTGCTATTGGTCCTACCTGGAAGGGGAGATTGGGAACAGCAGCTCAGCCCTTCCTGGCAGCAGCGGGCGCTCTGGGAGCCGAGCGCCGGGATGGCCCCTCTCCCTGCCTGGCGTCAGTAACCTAAACGGGAAAAAACCCTTCGGGGAGCCCAGGCTGGCTGAGGTTGCAGGCACCTCCCTGCCCGGCCGGGCCACCCGGGGCCGTGCCCGGTGGCGTGGGACCAACCCGGGGATGGCGCCCGCGGCTCCGCGGGGAAACAGCGGCAGGTCCTGGGCGTCCCCGGAGCCGAGATGGGGGCTGCGCGGGAAGGGGCTCGGCCCCGCACCTCCCTTCGGCTC